TTTAAATTTTAGAATGATGCTAGAGTGTCTTCATTGGGGAGAATGAATGAATGGAAATGCTATTCATTGATCTTTCCTTTTTGACAGTTCTTTACTGACTGTACTGATTCCAAGACTGAGAGAGGGTATGTGCCAAAATATTCCTGACAAGTGGTATTTTGTTCCATTGCCTTGATTTTCTTTTATAGTCATGATATTTAATTCAATTAAAACTCAACTTAAAATAAGGCCTAGCACTTTGATTTTAACAGGAAGGAAGCACTTGGTCATGGAAGCCAAATTCCTTGGCTCAGTGATCAAAGTTGTCCATGAGCTTCTTCACACCAGTCCTGCCCTCTTGAGGCTCCCTGTCGTAGAGCCTGCACACCAGCCTCAGCAGCTGGGGTCTCCCACCTCTAGTCCATTGCTCAGCTTTCCCTGGAATGCCCTCTCCCTCTTCCCTACAACCTTCCTTACCCCCCAGACCATGGCTATCAGATGGAGCATTGCCAATCTGTAAAGGCTCAGTCCAAATTCCTTGAAAAACTCCCTTCAATGCCCCCAGACACCAACCACCCCCCCCCACACACAATGGAGCTAATGTCCATGGTGAGTAGAATTGGGGGGGGGGTCCACTGAGGCTAGGGGTGGTACAAATTAGGATGATCAGAAATCCGTGTCTCGGGAATGAGAGTGGACAGTGCCATCAGCTTTCTGTCCTGTGAGTTTGAGACAATCTTAGCAGGCTGCAGGGGAACCCAGGAGAGGGTCTATGTACACAGACAGGCCAAAGCCTTAAGTAAAAAGGGCACAGTAGTAGTGGCCACAGAATCCAGGACTCTCTGAGGGGAAGGGGAGGTGGAGGAGTAGCCTATAATTCAGCTGCTCCTTTTCATCAGGATAATCTTATAAAATCCAAGTCCAGAGGATCTATGTTTGTTTCACCATTTGCTCAGCTGAGTACCTGATCAGAGCCAGGTCCCTACTGGGCACTGGGACTCTGAGTTGAATCAGCCAGACCCTATCCTGGGGGACCATCAATCACAGCTGGCAAGCAAGGGCCACACAATCCTCCTGAGAATGGGACATAAAACACTTCCTGAGATCCAGTACAGCCCTCTGGGGCAAACACTCCTTTATCAAGACCGTCATTAACATCCAGGTCCCTGACAGGTGTGAAAGGTGTGGAGAGCATGGGCTAGGAAAGTGGCCTTTGAAGCAAGAACCATCACTAACACTGGCCAGTAGGTCTCCGGTTGCAGACAGAGGGGTCATTCCAGGAGACTCACAGTGCAGGTCACACTGATCACACCTGCCTAGCTTCAGAGTCCTCATGTCTAAAGCTTATCTCCACATTTACTGTTCCTCCCAGGTTCCCACTTCAGGAAGGGCACCATGTCCACTCCACTACCCAAGCCAAAACAGGGGCCTCATGCAAGACCTTTCCTCTCCCATCGGGAATCACTAAGTCACTCATCTCTCCCTCTGTGAAAGCTCCAGACTCCTCCCTACGGCAGGATCTAGTGGTCTCCAGACTCTACCCCAGCACTCTCCAAATCCATCTTACAACTTCCCTGCTTAAAGCATCCAGTGGCTCCCCATTCCCACGAGAATGAAGTCTACACAGTTTCCTATATCATAACCCACCTCTGCTGCTCCACCTGCCCCTAGTACCAGCCACAATGAATAATTTGCAGTCTTGTGTGGTGCCTCCTTCATGAGGCAGATGCACAGGTGTGTCTGCTGCTTGGAAAGCACTTCCTGCCTGGATCATCCTTCATCTATCGGTTCAGGTGTGGCCTCCTGGGTTGGGCTCCTTCTGTGGGTTCCCATCACCCCTGTGCCTCCCTCCACAAATGTACCCAGAATAATTGTCTGTAAATTCCTTTCTCCATTAGGCTGCACCTCCTTAGGGGTTATTCCCAGCATCTAGCACAAAGCCTAAAGGAGGACAGTGAAGAAGACAATGGTCACAGACATTGTCACAGTCCTAGCCCATCAGTGAAGGTCTTGCTGACTCTCTGTGTGTTGCTTCTGTGAGTGGAAGCCCACTGGGATAGAAGGAGGGAGGCTGTGAGCATTCAATAACAAGGCCAGAAGCTGTCCTAGCAGTTCAGATAGCTCTGGCTAGTGCGATTATGATGGCTATGTGACAGTCAAGGTCAGAAGAAGAAATGCACTTAAAGCTATTAGGATGGACACTGCGGGGCACTGAAGTGTTTGCAACTGGCCACAATGACTCTTAAGTCAAATGTGAATTCAAATCAGGTCCAAATAATGTTTGTTGAGGATCTGCTACACATCAGGTACAGTGTTAGGTGCCTAGGTGCTTTCCATGGCTTTTAAGTGGAGGGACTATAATTTATCACCCAAACTGGGACACTTTCAAGAGGAAAGAGGGCGGTAGTACCAAATACTCTAGGACCACAAGCATAAGCCAGGACTGCCCCCATGCAGGCTGGAATGTACAACCATCTTATGCATAGGTCACACTTGGTGATTTTTTTTTTGTAACCCCAGACACAATTGTAAATCTATAGTTGTCAATATTTACTTATTTAATATCTATTATCCCCCTAGGTTGCAAGGGTTAGGGCTTTGTCTACTATTAGAACCAAGTGGTTGATATGTAGAAACTACTTGATAAATATTTGTGGGAAGGAGGAAGGAAAGAATGGGGTAAAAGACTGGACAGGGGCCAGGGGACAGAGGAAGAGACTGAGGGAGGAGGGGTGCTGCTCCAGGTCAGCTTGACTCCCAGATTAGCGTTTCATGTCCTTGCAGGGGCTATAGGAGGGAACTTGCAGGAAGGGTACAGCTTAGACAACTGGCTCAGCATCCAAGTGTGTTTACAAAGACCAGCCGGCAGGCAGCCAACCTGTTTGTGGCACAAAGAGTGTCCTGACATCTGACATCTCTGTGACTCGGTGTCATCTCATTTGTGTTCTGTGACGGGGCCAAGTGCCTGGTTGTTTGTGAGAAGATCAATGGGTGCTGACTCATGATGGCGACAGCAGGCTGCGGCCTCCTCTCCTGAGCAAAGCTAAGCCCCTTCCTTTGGTCCTTCCCCCAACCCCTCAATCCCCTCAGCAGTAGTCCTAACACACCGACCACTTGGTTCGGTGGCTCCCACTCTGTCACTTCTCCTGCCCATGTCTTTTCTTTCATCATGCCTCTTTGTCCTCCCTGCGATTATTTTGTGTCTATAAACCATAATGCATTTGGCATAACAGGATTTGCCATGTTTTGTCCAATTTAACTCAACAGAAAGTAATTGAATATCTATTTCAGCCAGTACACACACGCACGCGCGTGCACACACACACACACACACACACAGAAGTAGGAGCTGTTCTCTTTAAAAAGAGGTGACAGAAAAAGAAACACTGTGATTCTCTCAGGGAAGCAGCCCTTAACACAGAGGTCAGGTTGTGTTGGGGAATGGAGGTGAGGGGAGGCAGGGCAGAAACCAGCAGTCAATAGACCCTTTCTGAGAAATTCAGAAGCAGCTTGTCTTTGCCAGGAGAGGTGAATCAGGATGGCCTCAAGGGTTCAGGGCAATAAAAGGGCTTGGTAAGCCCAGTTAACACCTTTTGTGAAGAGGAAGGATGAGTTGGAGAAGGAAGCAAGTATCCTAAAGCTATGCTATACAAGCTCTGACAGGGCAGGTGGGCTGAAAAAGATTTAGGAAAGCCAAGTTCATAGGACAGAAGACAGTTAACAATATTGCACGTAAGAAGTTACTTTTTCCTTCACCCTTGCGCTAACATATGCATTTATTTTATGTACACGTTTTTGTCTCCTTCACCCCATGAGACCTCCACAACTGAGCCCAGTATCTGTGAGGGGTGGTCATATAATGCTGCTCTTCAATTTAGGATCTCTTTTATTGGCATCTTCAAGGAGTTACACTGATGCAACTCTGAAATACAGCAACTCTGGGATCTTTGCTGCCTCAGCTGTCACTACATGTCACCTGGTGGCAGCCAGGGGGTCCTAAAATCACCGTCATCAAAGTTGGGAGAGACTCAGATGTAGTCTCAATACAATGGAGTCCCCTCTGTGCCCCATTTTTGTCCATGTTGTTGAGCTTCAAGTGGAGCACTTGTAGTAAGGCAGAGTTCACAGCTCACATGCCCACATTGTCCCCAGGCAGCTCTGACTACTTAAGCATTCCATTTTCCTTTACTTCTTACTTCTTAGGGCCTTACTTCTGCCTTGGGCCTCTGCCTGAAACTGTCTGTCCTGTTCTCTCCAACAGTCCTTTGGAGAGAGGACCATCACGGTCTGCCCCCTTTCTCTAAGTTAGGAAACCCCAGCGTCTTTGATGTCTCACAAAATCTTGGTCCTATGAGCCAACTGAGTGGGGACACCCCCTGTCCCCCTTCTCTCGGGCACAGCAGGCCCCCTACTCTGGGAACAGCTTGACCACGGCCACCACGGCCCCACGTCTAACCACGTGCTTCTGGTGGGCTTGCCCTGTCCTTGCATACCCTTGCCTCTTGGGCTGGGGTTGACTTGCCCAGCAGTGGACATGTCCTCTAAGCTTGGCCCATCATAGTCTTTTTTTCTAGAACTAAAAAGTGAGAGTGAGTCACTCCCTAGTGGTAGGAGCCACGGAGGTGACATTTGGCATGAGTTCCCCACAGGCGAAGGCCAGTCTACAGTCTTCAATTACATGAGATACTCTGGTACTTGTCTCATAAGTTACCAATTTTGCTTAAACTAGCCTAAGTTCTATTTCTTTTGCTTCTAACCAAAGGGCCCTGACCAACGTGGCTCTGCTCCAGAATGTTTCCTTCTCCTCCTGAGACCTCCACAGCTGAGCCCAGTACTTGTGAGCAGTGCGGGGAGACACTTGGGTCTGCCCACTTCAGAGAAGAGATGAGCAGCTCTGGCCCCTCCCTGGTTTCGACCCCATATCCCTAATTTGCAGCGCCTAGTGAACTTGCCCAGGGTGACACTGCTCTTTCCCAGCTCAAGCCAAAGACCAGCAGCCACTGAGGCGTTCAGTTACTCACAGGGTCGTTGTGCATCTGGATGATGAGCTGTTTCACCCCATGCAGGGTAGGGTGGGCCCACGGAGAGGGATCCAGCCAGTGACGGTTCAGGTCGAATCCCATCAGAGAGCACCTGGGCAGCACCCAAAGCCAGTCAGTATAAACAGAACAAGCCAAGCTTCTACTTATCAAAACACAGTTAGGAGTAGGAGTAGTCATTATGTCACTCACCTGGCATTTGTTTTTTGCCAGAGACATTTTTAAGCATTTCACATATATTAATTCATCTAGTGCCTTCTATGACCGTATGGAGTCACTACAATTATAATTACCACATTACATAAGAAGAAACTGAGTCACAGAGGGGTTCCCAAATACTTCTGTGGTGGTCTTCCCTCTCGTGTCCACGCTCTGAGGCCGCAGATGTGTGCACATCTGGACCGGCCAGCAGAAGGAAATGCTCAGGCCAAAGCCACTGGCGCCCCCTTATTCCTCGCTCGTGCCAGCTGGCCCACTGTCTCTACTTTCAAAATATGGCTCTGGCACAAATAACGCCCCCTCTTTATCATAAAATCATAAGTATGTAATTCTGTAACATAACAATATCACACTCAAGCACACCATATGGCATTTTAGGCGAAATGTTCAAATTAAAAGTATAAGTTATTATACCCATATTATTACCCTGCTAACCACACTCAAGCAGGCATTACTTCTGCTGAACTCTATATGTTCAGAAACTAAAACCTTTTTTCACCTCCACTGATATCACTTTGAGTTTGGAGCAAGGTCCAGAGTATTGTAATATAATCTCTCATCTGGTCTCCTTGCTTCCACACTTGCATTCTCCCACTTCACCTTTAACCTTATCTCCCCCCTTCCCCCCCACGCTGTCATATTCCAAATAGCCAGCGTAATCCTCTTAAAATGTCAGATTGTGTCCCTTCTCTGCTCAAATTGTCCCCTGTTAGGGTCAGAACAAAAGCTGAAGTCCTTACAACAAGATACAAGCCCCCAGTGGCCGATCCAGCTGCTGCTGATCTCTCTGACCTCAGCTCCTACCACAGCCCCTCTTGCAGTGCCAGATATGGCCTCCTCCCTGTTCCTCTGACATACCCACCGGGCTCTTCCTGCCTCAGGGCTGTCATACAGGCTGTCCTTCTGCCTGCTATTCTCTTCCTCCAGAGGGCTGAGTGACTCATCCTCCCTTGTTTCAAATCTTTGATCGAATGTCACCTGCTCAGTGAAGGCTCCCCTGCCCACCTTCCCCACACCCTCCCTCGGGCACGCTAAAGACCTTCACTAGGGCAGATGTGATCAGGACTGCTGGTTCTCCTTCTCTCCCTCCCCTTCCTTTTCTCACTTCAGATCTGCCCAAAGCCCTGCTGGTCCTGCGGGGGAGGCGCCTCCTCCAGGTCTCTGTTCCAGGGCCTCCCAGTCTGCTGGGCTTACACGCACCATTGACAGTCTCCAGGCCAGCATAGGCTGTGGCACAGCCTCCAGAAACCTGTGCCTGCTCCCCAATCAAGGTACTGCTCTCCTTCTCTCCAATCTGTCCTCTTCCTCTCCCCAGAATGTCTCCCACCCTGATCCATCTTGCTTTCCGGGGCAAGATTCACCTATGGCTCTTCATCACCTATGGGATAAAATTCTGTTCTTTGCAGATTTTTAGCCACATTCAAACAGATAATGGCCATGATTTCTTTTTCTGTCCAAATTGTCCTCCTTTGTCTACTCTGTCCTTCTGTTCCACTGTTTCATCCCTTCTATCCTATCTTCCGAGCTCCTCTAGTTCCCTAAGCAATACAATCTTATCCCCTCAGTTTACTAAATTTGCATCCCCAACTATTGCCCTACTCAGAAAAATAAAGGGCTCTACCAGGGGCCCACCTGTGCTTCAAGATGGTTGGGGTGGGGATGGTGGAAGCATGGTGGGTAAATAATGATGATTTCCTCCTATTATTTAAAATTACCTCATGGGAGAATAACTAATGTTTTGTGGGGACCCATGGGGTAAGGCTGCATTGAGGAGAAGCCGTTTGTGTTGGGCCTTGCTGAATGCATACAATTTTTCCAGGCATTGGGGGCAGAAGAAACAGTGTAAGCGAAGAAAAGAACTGGGAAACCCACCTAGGATGTTGGGAGAAAGGTGGGCCATTTGGTTTGACTGGATCATGGAGCGTGTGGCGAGTGGGTGGTGACGGTGAAGCTGTGGAGGGAGAGGGAGGTGAGGGCCCGGAATGCTTGTCAAGGAGTCGTGTTATTTCACCTTTGTGCTGCTGTGCTTAGATCAGCCGAGTGCTGCTGTTGGCTTCTCGTGGACGGCAGTGAGAACAGAGACAGCCGTGCATGCAGGTTACAGCAACCTCAGCATCACCATCGAGGGAACACAATCGAGCATTTACTGACATTGCTTCGCCCCAGCAGTTAAGTACTTTACTGGGTAAGAAATGCTTCCTCTCCGTTGACCCTACGAGGCAGGCTCTATCATCATTCCACTTTGCAGGGGTGGAAACTGAGGCACAGGAAGGTTAGGGACAACTTGCCTGAGAAAGGGGAGCTGTCAGGACTGGTGCACAGGCGCCTGCCACCCCTGGCCTCAGAGTGCCTCATCCCTCGGGAGACAGAGGGTGTGCTCTCGGGCTTCTGTCTGCTTACAATGCGGGACAGTGCTGTGAGGGTTAAATGACAGAACACGTAACCAAGTGAATTGAGCACAGGTTCTGGCACATGATAGCAGCTCAGAAATGTCACGCTGTTGTTTTATTGTACCTTATGGTTGTTTTATGCTACATCCTATGTGAGTGACATGGCCTAATAAGTTTGCAGTCCCCAGACGGCCGGAGTAAACAGCAGACAGCAGTGGTCAGGGATGACATCCTGTCTTTTCCCCCTGTCTGGGAGCTGTGTTCGTGTCCATGATCTGTCCCCTCCTGATGCAGCAGCCACTGGTCCATGTTCTTTGGGGAATGCCCAGCATCTAACCCTGTGATTAGATGGAGCAAGAGGGTGGGGAGGGAGGGAGAGTTTGTTCCTCCATCATTCCAAGATGATGAGTCTTCTCCCACCACAGAAGGCACACGGGCCAGGTGCTCCCTCTCTGGGACCTGGCAGCCAGGGCAGCGGCAGGAAACCCAGCCTCAGGCAGCAACTCAGGACTTAAACTTGGACTGGGTGATGCAGGGCTGGGAGCAGGTCGCATGGCGGTGCTGCTGTGGAACAGGGGTGGAGCCTGCCTGCCAGCAGCTGCTTTTCTGCCCTCCAGGGCTACCCTGTTAATTGTTTTCCAAGTCTGGCTCTCCAGCTTTGGCTTTATTCTGCAAATCCCTTCCTATTCATTCCCTTGGTGCTTCAGTGGTTCGGGTCAGTTCTTGCTTTTTTTAACTGAAAGCATCCTTAACTGTATGGCTGTGTGGGCTGATTCATCAATGACTCCATCAGGTCCCTATACCATCCTCTTTCCAATGGCTCATCACCCAGCAGATGGGACCTTTGGTCTGGGTGATGTGCCCACAGAGCTCTTTCAGCCCCTACGGAGCATCTAGATTTTGGAAAGGAACATTGTCTTTAATAATACGACTTAATTCTTAACAGCTGTATCCTTAGAGATGGTCAGCGTACCTACCTCTCCTTCGCCTCCAAGTAGAAATGCCCTCTGCAATGTCTTGGCTCAGTCACCAGCCTGTTCCATGACACTTCTGTGACCACCTCCCCACTGTCCACTTATCTCATTCCTGGACAGCTCTCCTGGGAAAGTCTGTCTTCCAGTGACTCCATCAGCCTGAGCCCTGAGCCCGCGCAGTCACACAGAACAGTGAGGCTGCCATGTGAAAGCCAGAGGCTCTGGGAGTCAGTCAGGTTTGAGTCGGGCTGTTCTCTGTATCCGCTGTGTGACCTTTAGAAAATTTCGTCTTAAAAAAACTTCTCTGGGCTTCTGTTTTATCATATGTATAATGAGGATAACGACCTTGACCTTCTGGACTGCGTACCTGAACTAATGTCTGTTAATGGCCCGGCAGAATCCTCAGGAGAGTGAATATTGAATAAAGGGTAGCCAGTGATGACAGTGGCCATGGTGGGAATGGACAAGGTGACCTCCAGATGCCAGTCTGTCACTGGGTGTGAAATCCTGGGTCCCTGCTCAGGGTCTCTGTCTCCTTATTGCTCTTCTTGTCTGTTATCTATTTTTAAAGATGAAATATCTGCATGAGCTCAAAATCAGGACCTGTGTCCTGACATAAGGGGAGCTATTGATGGTATCAATGAGTCAGAATACTTGACATTAGGACCATTTTAGAAAATCCAAATTTATGGAAGTCAAATGTATATATAGCTGAATAATATGATTTCTTTCTCTTGAGTCAGAGATACTGTTGAGTATCTTTTCTTTCTCCTTCCAAACTGTGTGCCCAGTGAGGGCAGGGACTATGTCTGAGCCATCTCACCCACCTCCACTCCAACTCACCTACTACAGACCCGGGTGGGGAGAACGTTCAGCACAATGTTGAGTGAATGCATGAATGAGCAGATGCACAAATGCATAAATAGGCCCTGGCTGGCGTAGCTCAGTGGATTGAGCGCGGGCTGGGAGCCAAAGTGTCCCAGGTTCGATTCCCAGCCAGGGTACATTCCTGGGTTGCAGGCCATAACCCCCAGCAACCGCACATTAATGTTCCTCTCTCTCTCTCTCTCTCTCTCTCTCTCTCTCTCTCTCTCTCTCTCCCCCTCTCCCCCTCTAAAAATAAAATAAATAAAATCTTAAAAAAAAATGCATAAATAGATGTCCTGAAGGTCTGCAAACAAGGTTTACCTAGTTACTTGAGGACATAGTTTGAAAAATATTTAAGTATCTGTTACACGCTAGACACTTTTGTAATAACCAAGTGAGGTAGGTATTATTTATCCCATTTTATAAAAGAGTGAATACAATAAAGGTGAGATTTGACCTTGGCAAGGTCACTTGACAGTGTCTAGGATACAGAGCTGGGATTTGAACCCAGGTTGTATTGATGCCAGGTGGTCTACAGTGACCCTTTGAAGTCCCACCAGCTAACGGAGAGGCTGTGTGATCCATGAAACAGACACTGGGCTGCTCCTTTGCTCTCCCCATTCTGTCCCGGCCTCTCCTCTGCC